TTCTTCCTCAGGGATGTGTTTTGGGTCTGTATCCTGGTCCCTTGTTTCTCCTGCTTTATCTTGCTTCTTTGTATGGACGGTGATGCTCTGTTGTCTCAGGCATTGTGATGTTTTTTTGTTTACATTTAATTGGTGATTATATGTTGGAGTAACTTGCACACAATTTTTGTTTCCTTTGTTTTGTTTGTATGTTATCTATGCAGGCAGGGTACTGTGCTGTGCTCCTCTATTCACTCGTTGACAGCACTTATACACTCACCACCTGTCTCCTTTCCTGTTGTCAGCCTCTCGTATGTCCTTGCCAAGCCTGGCAAATAGAGCCTATTCTTAGGTCCCTGCAATCTGAATCAGAATGCTATCACTTTACAATCAAAAATGGTTGCCACTTGTAAACATTCAAAATGGCTGCACCCTCAGTCACTTTAAATATCCAAAATGGCCTCCTCTTGTAAACATTCAAAATGGCTGCACCCTCTGGACAGCAGAAAGTCCATAGCTCAGGTTGTCTCCCTCCTTGCTGTTTCCCTGCCTAGTCATAGGCCACCAGAGCAGTTGTCCCTGCAGCCCTTGGTGACTGGGATTGTCTTTAGGTCAATTCTCAGGTTCTAACACCACTTGGAAATATTCAGGCTGTTGGTCTCATCAGAGTAGCTGACAGTCCGCAGCTCTGACTGTCTCTGTACTCACTGTTTTCATTCAGTTTCTCCACTAGCTGGTGCCTAATCCACTTCTTTATAGTTCCTTTCAAAGCTCAGGGTTCCAGGATTATATTCTGTATCTCTGTCAATTGGTTTTTCTTTTCTTTGTTGAAGAGGGTCTGTGTCGCTTGCCTGCCTATTCTTCTATCTTACCAGAAGTCTCCCCTGCCTTTTTTTTTCCAAATGATTTTGAGTTTTGTTCCACTTTGTTCTCCCTCTCTATCCAGGATCTCCTACATAGATCCCCCTCTGAGTGGTTGACAGGGGTAGTCGGGTACCATCTAGTTCTTCTGGTCTTATAGTCATATAAGCTGTGGATCGCATGGTGTTTGGTCAGGTATTTTGTAGAGTATCTCTCTGTTTGGGTTTGCATGATGGTTTCTCATGGTTAGAATGAGGCTATGCATTTTGGCAATATTAGTACAGAAATGATATTGTGTCCTTTTTCAGGGAGTAAGTGATGTAGCTTTGGATTGCTAGGAAGGTTAACCTTGATTACACTTGGTTAAAGTGGTGTCTGCCAGGGTTTTCCATTACAAGCATGTTATTTTGATCTTTATATTTACTCAGAATTCTGGGGAGACATTCTGAGACTGGTATGCTGAATAATGACTCCCAAAGATATCCAAGTCCTAATGCTTGGAATCTGTGAATGTACCTTTATATGAGAAAAGATACTTTGCATGTATGATTAAATTAAAGATCTTGAGAAGAAATTATGTGGGATTATCTGAGTGGGCCTGAAATGCAGTCACATATATCCTTGTAAGATGGAGTCAGAGGGAGATATGACAGAGAAGACATGGTGATGTGATGATAGGGGTAGAGAGAAATTTGAAGGTGTTACATTGTTGGCTGTAAAGATGGAGTAAAGGGCCATGAGCCAAGAAATGCAGCTCTAGCAGCTGGAAAAAACAGGGAAGTGGATTCTCTTTTAGAGTCTCCAGAGGGAGCAGGCTTTGGTGACACCTTGGTTTTGGCTTAGTGAAACTTATTTCACTTCTGACCTCCAGAACTTTTAAGGTAATTAATTTATTTTGTTTTAAGTCATTAATTTTGTGACAACTTGTTACAGCAAGAAACTATGACAGACTCTGTAAACATCCTGTGTCTGCTTCAACTTTCACCCACTAATGTTAGTATCCACAGCTAGATCTTGCCTGCAGCTGTTATTTCTTTGTTGTCCTAATGGTGATGCAGGAATAACTAGGTTCTTACCACCTGTCACTAATAGAGCCAATACACAACAGGCTGAAATGGAAAAACAAAAGATTTATTGAGTTATTGATACCCAATGAGACAGAGTCACTTCTCTTAAAAATCTGAGAAAAAGTTATGGTTTTAAAAGGAGTTGGGCTAAGGGGTACGGGGTTTGAAGAATGTTGATAATGTTTTGTTGTTATCAGGATAAGTCGTCTTTACCTTGTGGCTCTTCTGTTACTCTTTTGGTCAGTAATATAAAACTGGCCTTGATCAGGAGAAGTTGTTTTGCAAGCTACTTGTACCTGCCCAGAAAGATTAACTCTACAAAGAGGGGAGAATGTGGGGGTGGGTGCACTCAGGCCTCTCAGACCATCAAGAATGTCTCTGTTCCCTCTTTATCTTGTGTGTTGTAGTAAATTACTTAGTGTGGCTTTTCTACCCATAAGTCTTTGTAAACTCCAAGGTGGGATTTTCTATGGGCAACTGAGGAGCTCCTGATTGCTGAAGTTGTCCACCTGGAGTATTTCTGTTGGGAGTGGCACAAAACAATGTTCTGGGAGGTGCCCACTCTCTCTCAGGTGCTTAG